AGACTGAGACTAGAATAGACAACTGAGTCTATTACTGAAGATGTCCCTATAAAGGTATATAGGGAACAAGAGAACAAAACTAAAGTACAGTAGTGAAAGCAGTGCTACTTGAATGAACAAAGCAATAGAGTTTAATAAGTATGAAACACTGAGTTGGATCAGTGATATACATGAATAAGGTTTCACTGGGTTGTATCAGTGATAAAGATAAAACATGATAGAGATGTGATGTGATGTGAGATATAATATAGATAAAACATGATAGATATGAAACACTGATGTAGGTAAAACACATCAGGTGATGGAATCAGTTGTACAGTTACAGGGTCAACAACAAATAGTTAGGAAAGAAATAGGAACCTCCCCCTCAAAGCTGTAACAAGTACATAGGTACATGGTCCTAGGTTGTTAGGTTCTCCCAACCCTACCAACCCCATGATGTCTCATAACCTATGTCCCAGACCTTCTCTGCACAGCCCTTCAATGACCATGCCTCTTCCACACCTCTCCAAATCAAGGAGAGTGCACCAGCCTGTATGGAACACTTACATTCTTTACACAGGCAGACTAACAGATGCAAGGGCAAAATACAATGCAAAAACCTTCATCTCCCAGCATATACACCACAGGCACATTGGCCATCCACATTCAACAGTTACTATCTTACCTTTGTCAGCAAAACACACATTTACTTTTGGGGCGCATGGGAAGGGGACACAGGTTATATTGTCATTCCAGCGCGTGGTCGTTGTGTTCATGGTAGGCATAGAATAGATTGGACTTCACGTCAGCTTCAACCATTGGCAGGGATCCCTTGAGACTATGAAGACGGAGATGGAGAAGCAAAGGAGTAGATGGGGAGTTCCAGACGGCGATCGTCCACTGCCCGTCGAGCTACCAAACCATCTTCTTTCGACGAGCGCTGGGACTCGAGCAGTAGCCGAGGCTGCTCACAAGATTATGTACACGCACTTGACGTGCCTAATTAGCTAGGGCATGATCATTGACAGAGGTCATGCGAAGTGCACAATTGACAATATCTGTTAATGTACACACTCACGTCCCACATGTGTTGGCTAAAAGAAGACAGCTCTGCATATCTGCTGGAGGCGTGTACCAGACGGTGCGCTCCTGCCAGGGGAGCGAATCAAGACGCGACGTTCCGGGGTGGTTGCCCCCGAGGCATGGATGTGACGAAGCCGACGCGGTTAGAGCGGCTCTGCGGCAGAGATGTAGAGGACTGATGGACAGATGGCTAGTTGATTGGCAGGGACGAGTAGGGCGCAGCAGAAATTACTCGCCGTTGTTTCCACGAATGAACGCATCCCCATAGCGATTGGTAACGGCGCCGTCGACGTGCTCCTCGGTCTGCTCGAGGGCGATGTTCATATAGCCGTCGAGGCAGGAGAGGACGCCTAATCAGACGCGGCTACTCAGCTCCCGGAGTGCCGGCAAATGAATGCGGTGTAGCTCACCGCGGTAGTCAACTCCTGAAGTCAAACGAACAACCACGCGCTTGCCGACGACGCCCTTGAGAAAATCGGTTGGAGAGCCAGTGAGAGTCGGGGGCGGAGGAGGCGGCGGAGGCGAGAGTGCTGCAGGCGGGGGCGGGGGCGTCGGGGCGTCCATCGTGCAGGGAGCGTCGCGGGCGGAAGAGTCAAGTCGGCGTAGGCAGCGCGAGCCGCCGTGGGAACATGCGGGGCGGGCTGGGGCGGCGCCTTGGAAGCGTCAGGGACGTTCACCCGGGCCCGCTCCTCGCTCAAAGGCAGCAGCATGCAGCCCGCCGCAGATTCTGCCCACCACGTCCAGTGAGTCCCCCTCGTCCTCATGGCCACCGGCGTCGATGTTCAATATCCAGAGGTCATCGACATCAGCTGGCGGCACAACCTTCGCTTCGACCCTCGTCTCGGCGACGAGGACAACGACGAGCACGCCGATGAAGCCCCCGGCAGCGACCGCCGCCATTCAGATTTCTCTAGGCATGTTCGCATCGAGACCCCCGCTCGTTCGACGCCGGCGCCGAGCGATAGGACTGACAGCCGCAGCTCTCGACGACTAGCTCCTCTGCGTCGTCTCGCCGCTGCCCTCGTCCGCAATTTCCCTATGGACCTCCAGTGGATTCCTGCTAACTGGGCATGGCTCAAATTCAAGCCTGTCATCCGCAGCTCAATCCTTGGCTTCGTCTCGGTTATGTTCATGGTCATTGCCCCCGTCCAACGCGTGCTCGGACAGGTTAGTCTTGCCCGCATTCTTATAACAGCATCTGATGTCCTATAGGCGACTTTCTTAATACTTATTGGTTTGTATGTTTACCTTAATGCTGCGCTGCGTCACTAATCACTACTACGTCTCAGCCGCTTTTGTTGATCCTCCCATAGATTCGTTCGTCGCTGTGCTCGAACGGGAAATTATTTTTGCTGCATTTGTAACTCTCGGCTGGGCGTGAGTAAGATTCATTTTCTCTGTTTCAAATCTTGTCTACGCCACTGTGTGGTCAATCCGAGCGCCTGCAGAGGCCCCCTCTGGGTTCACCACTCAGCATATGCGTCATTTATGCACCCGTGAGGCTGCTGCAATAGTAATGTGCCATTTTCAAAGAGCAGCATATATCTTACATCTTGTAGATACTGTTGTGCTAAACGTTGTCCTCTCGTCACAGATGGAGCTGTCTGGGTATCTTCCTGGCCAATTTAGCTCGTAGTTACAAAAACCCGTCCGCCACGTTCGCGGAGGCTCTGACTGGTCAGTATATTGAAGCCGCACCGACAGTCATCATGGCCATATTCGTGTTTTTTGGTGTTGCATTCTTCTTGTACATCAAGGTCAAGCGCGGACCTGGCCCATACGCGTACCCTAGTGTGTTCGGTGCTGTCTGCGTCGACATTTCTTTTGTCACCGCTGTTCTCGTCCCATTCCCTTACTATTCTATCGGCCAGGTCATCGTCCTTCCTCTCGTCCTCCATTCCGCCATCTGCATCTTCCTCTCCGCGACTGTGTTCCCCACTACCATTACATCTCAGTACTCAGGCGCCCTCTCACGCCTCTTTGATCCTCTCGAGGCTGCCCTCATTGAGCATCGCGCTATCCTCGGGCTCAGTCCTAGTGGCCCTGAGTTCTCCGCTGCCGTCACCAAGATCTATGGGCTCGTAGCCAAGTCCGAAGCGGGTCTCGCCCCAGCTGCAGGTGCGCTTCGTCTTGTGAAGCACGATATCATCTGGGGCCGCTTCTCGCCCTCGGACGTCGGTGCCCTTCAGTGGTTCGCCCGCCGCCTCGTCACGCGCGCACACGGGCTTGGCGTGTTCTTCACGCTCATCGACCCTACACGAGAGCGTTTTCCCGTCACGCCTGTGTCGCGCACGCCCGTGGACTCGCGCACCCTCACGCCGAGCGCTTCGCACCCAGTTACGCCCCTTCCGTCGCGCCCTCCTAGCCCAAACCGCATACGTACGCTTAGCCGTTCGGCAACGCCTCCGGGACCATCGTCGCCGCCCGCAGATCACGAGCATAGCCGTGGGCGGATGCGCCATCGCACCAATTGGAAGCATACCCCGAGTGCATCTGCGATCCGCCGCACCATCTCGCAACATCTGCACTTTCGTCTACGCAAAGCCGAGGAGGACGATCAGCATCAAAGGTTACATTTCTCCCTCCTGCACCTAGCGCACACGCTCGCCCTCCCTCACCCGCACACGGCCTCTCCCGAGAATGCAGTGGGTGTATTCGAGTCGCAGCGCTACCTCGCATTGGAGGCGACCCGGCTGACCTACCCCGACTCCCCAGAGAATATGGAGCATTTCGTAGCACTTCTGGGACAGAGCTGCGACGATCTCCTCGGAGTGTGCACAGATACACTCAAGGGGCTTAAGGTGTGGGTGGGGGGGATTCGGCGTGGAAGCTTCGCCGGCCGGGCGACGACCGCGCGGATACGTGAGGAAAGGCTGGCTGAGATGACCGAGATGAAGCGTAAGCTGTCTCTAGCGTTTGAGATGTTCAAGAAGGATTTCAGGTATGTGTCTTGTCATTTTTGTTGTTCCTTCGGACTCATCTCGCCGCAGACATTGTGTTCTTGACCCATACCGATGCGCGTTCGACCCAGAGCACGTTGGCTCGCCCGACATGATTGTTGAGCCGCCGCCACATCGTTACTTATTCCACTGCTACGTGTACCAATATCACCTCATGCAATTTTGCATGGTGTTGTTGGAATGGGTCAGCGATCATATTCACTTCGATACCTCTCGCGGCTGATGCATCTGCGCAGGTTGACGAGGTCATCCGCATGGAAGATATCAACAAGGCATCGAGACTGTGGATGCCGACTATACCGCTAAGAAAGCTGTTCGATTGGGGTAATGACGATGCTGCTGCCCATCTTGAGCGAGATGATGACGAAGACCCCGGTAAGCGACTCAATCAACGGAGTCGGGCATCTGGCATAGTGACCTCACTATCTGAACCCAGATACAATTCCGGGTATGGACACCGATTTCCAAGCGGATCTCGGGGAAGCTACTCGCCGAAATCCCGACGCTTTGCCTCCGCAGAATGCGTTCGAAGTCATCATGTCTTGGGTGCATCAGTTCATCGTCGCCCTTGGAGGCGGAAATGTATTGTTCGCAATGAAAGCTGGACTGTTAACCGGTAAGGTATTGTTCCACGCCCTACTGTAGAGTACTGATGTGCTTTCAATATTACAGTGATTCTTTGCATCCCCAATTTTCTCAAACATACCGCGGAATTCGCATACTGTACGTTGTCGTTGCTCCTGCCTTTATGCGCTACTAATCTGTCTGAACCTCAGCGGAACGTTTCATATGGGGAATGTAAGCTTCACTATGTTAACTCTTACCTGGGCTGGCTGCTTATCTTTTCTTTTCTAGATTTATGGGACAGTTAACACTCATGCGATTTCGTGGAGACACCACGTTCGCATTAGTCGCGCGGCTGATGAGTACGTTCGTTGGTGGTGTGATCGGCATGCTCCTATGGTGCGGATTACCTTAAGTATTCATCTTGTAATCTGACATCATTAAATCAGGTACATCTCTGCGGGGCGAGGCGAGGGCAATTCATATGGCTTCGCGGCCACGCTTGGAGTGTGTTTCCCGTTCTTCTTTTACATGCGCATCTATTGGCCAGTCCCACCGGTGACAAATCTAATCTTCTTCGTTACTATTGCTTTGGTTAGTAGCTTTCCAATGCAAGGTACTTAACTCACCGTACCAATGATGTTTTTAGGTGCTGGGATTCTCTTGGCAAAATACTCACTTCCCGGGAATCTTCCACTTCTATGGCTTTGCTCTCGCCTGGGTACGTCACCCATTGCGTATATTTCGTATGATACGAATAATTTTTACAGAGGCGATTCGTGTTGGTGGTTGCCGGTATCACAGCAGCTTTGTAAGAAAAATCGAGTTTCTAGATTTCACATACTTGCTCATGATGACAACGTACAGCATATTCTCACTCCTACCGCCTTCGACGACTTTACGTCACTATCAGCGAGCAATGTTATCGACCACGGTATCTGAAATGGGAGCCATCTATTGCTCGATCGTGTCGTTCGCCAATACCCATGGCCGTCTAGAACCGGACAAGCGCGAGATCATCCAAGCACTTCTTGCCATTCGTATGAAACTCAAACGATCGGTTGTACTGAAGACAAACATCGTTTACGAAGTAAGTTAATGCATGTGCGTTTGTGGGGTCTCGATTTCGATCTGTGTGTATTTCCAGTTTTCATTACGCGGAAAATGGCCTGCGCATAGGTACCAAAGGATCCTCGAATTACAGATGTAAGATTTCTTCTTTTCCGATGCCACATATGTGTTCAAGTCATCTTGTACCACAGGCAAGTTGCGTTTCACCTTTCACACCTCATGTCTGTCGTGGAACATCTAGATCCCGCCTGGTCTCGGGCGTTCCTTCGACGGACTCGATTCTTAGATGCAGATTTTCAGGGCGATGTTCTCGCCGTCGTCAGTATGTCTTATCCTAAGCATCACCACGAGTCCACTTGATGCTAACCTCTGGTACTAGGTATGATCTCTACGGCGCTCCGCACGGGCAACCCTTTGCCACAAATCACACCGTGCCCCCTTCTTGACCGATTCATGGTGCACACCCATGGTCTCAACATCATTCGACAGGAAGAAGACGATGACTACGGGCTCCCGCGCACGATGACGATCGACACTCTAGAAAACGAGCAATACCTGTGAGCTCTTTTCAATATGTCCGGTGCATCTTTCTGATAATTGCTCTCAGGACGTTCGCTGTAGGCGTTACAACCGCGTTCGGTATCATCTTGAGATTAGATAAACTGATGGTAGCGACGAAAGAGCTGGTTGGAGAGCAGTATCATATCCATGGTGTTGGTGTGCCCGACACACGAGCATTTGAGAGGCCACCGAAGGATGCGTGAAGTGTGAGATGGGAGTTGCGCACTGAGCTTGTACAACACTTATCCTCGCTCTTGATGGACGATAACTTAGTACTATAGATTGCCTTTATGGTATTGATCATACTTACAACCTTACCTTGAGCTGCGAGGGTAGTATCCACTATATATACTAGTATTCTATTTAAACACTGTATGGGATGTTGATGTCCAGGACGTACTCAAGAATTACTGTCTTGACACTCGGATTTCATCAACGCACTTGCTGTTGCAGGTTCAAGAGGAATATGAAGACAGCTCCTTCGGTCACCGGTTCGAAAATTCCCGCAATGTTTCTAATCTGAACAAAATCTTTTCGTTTTTGAAAAATGGAGCGCTGCGTTTACCGATTTATACATTGGGACGAAGCTCCTACCTCCAACGATTTAATAGCCTCCATATCAAGGACGTGAAACAGCGGTGAGAAAGATGGTGAGAGCCAGTCTAGAACACTACTGATTGAGTTCTTGTGCAAGAGGGAGAGCGATTGGGAGCTCCTATGGAGACCTTCGAGCCCATGTCGGTAGATATCGTTGAGTATCCCGATGTTCGCGGCGGACAAGACCAGTCGACACGATTGAATGATGCTACCACAAATACTAAATCTCGGGCTCATCCAAAGTCAGACGCACATCTCATGGGTTTTATTCCGTAACAGCAGGGTCACCCACTGCACTGATTTCGTCTGTATGGAGATGGAAGTTCTTGGCAATAAGCATAACTATTCTCGTGTGCGGAACGAGTTCAGATAGGTGCACACAGGTGAAAGCAATAGTATTCTAGATGGAAATACTCGTTTCTAAACTAGATCGGCGGGTATAAGGTAGCTTGTAAGATAAAGACGTTCTAGAGGCGAGTTTGGAAAGATTCGCATTGCAAATATTCATGCTATTGTCAACTCAGATGTGTTCACGGTTTCATGAACCTTTTCCACGAGACTTTCTGCCAAACGAGCTTGCCTCGCATTGACAGCGCTAAGGTACGAGTCTGTAGCAGGATCAATGTGATGTTTGCGCTGCGAGAGTTATCGTTGCTTACTCCAGAACAGGGCAACGACGCCCACTGTAAGGAAGCGCATGTGTGGTGGTACAAATGTGAAGTTGATTATTTGCGTCGGCACAAAGACACACCTGGTAAAAGGAGGTAAGTCAAAACCAGCGGAACGTCATGTACAAGTTTGCTACTTACCAGTTGCGCAGCAGAGTGGGTACATAGGACTTGATTAGATCAGATATGTCAGTGCGTAATCTCGTTGGGAGCAAAGCTTCAAAACATACGTTACTGAGACGTTCTTGGGCATCAGCGATCGTCTTCCCTTCCATTAGCGTCATCGACGCAAAGAAGAATCCAACCACCGCTTGTAACAAAAGTATAGCGGTTAGAGAGCGATTGTGCTGACATCCTTCATATGAACATACCTGGTGTAAACACGGTTTGGTCCAGGTACACCTATACGAAGTTGAGTTGAGACATTGAAAACTGTAGCAACATTTCGTGCGCAGACCTTATAGATGACGGATTTCACAGGTGATGCGACCTGCAGCCGGTTGAGGACTTGCAGCCATTTAGTGAGCAGAGGACCAAAAAGCGCCCCTGGTGTATTGAACTCGAATCAGATCAATCCTGAATGACCATGGCAAGATGCACCGCACCTCCATAGAACGCTGCCCTCGCGGTCCGTACGAGCTACATAACCAACAATATTGAGCAGGTCATACACGAAGGGGACAATATGCTCTTACATCGTGGTTCTTGCCCTTTTTTTCGAACGCCTGCTGAGCGAGTATGTCGCCGACTCCGAACATAACCCCGGACGAGACACATTGCGTGAGCATCGGCCTACGGACGAGGGACGCACTGAAGTAAGGTTAGTTAGCGCACTGTATAGCTTGTTTTCACACGTCTGAGATTCTTACTTGAATGCTGCAAGGAAAGATGCCATGTCGAGTGCCAGCAAATATTCAATGAGAGGTTCGAGTGACAAAGGCGAAGAAAGGCAGCGACCACGGTGTCTTTCACAAGAAGTCGGGGGATTTTGTAGTAGTCGCGGACAGGTGGAAAGTCCCAGGCGTTAGGGAAATGCCACGAAGACGAACGCGGGGAACGCGTGGGCGGGGATTTATGTACAGACCTCGGGCAGGTCTTGGAGCTGCCGCTGTAGCCGAGAAACCGCTTGACACAATTTGGACGGCACGCCCACAACCAATTTAGCTGTATCCATCATCGCATCATGAGTGTGTCAATACGCAAAAGACAATTTGACACGGGCCCCATTACTTGCGTATAACAGGGACATAGGAAGACTACACTGCGAAAGCCAATAAAGAACAATGAATATCCATAAATACACTATTCCGCCATACAGGACCTCCTCATGAACGCCATAACTTCGCCCAGAGAATGATGGCAATCAATAAGACGAGCACAAGTATAATCGCCCCGGTGACTATGCGCTGTTGGTACATCCTGGTACATATCACAGTCAGACCCAACTGAAAGACGCGCATTGGAGCAGTATGTCATGCAAATTGGGGATACATACCGTCTAATCATCTTCTTCAGCGTACCCGAAGCGCGGTCAATTGACGTGTCGGCGCGTTGCAGCTGCGCAAGCCGGACCGGGTTAGATCTCGCAATCGGAGGACTTCGTTGTATGGCGCACCGTATCCCGTGAGTTCTGAATCTGTTCCCGTTGCACCCGAAGACTCCGCAGAATATCTGTGCCCTGCTCCTCTGTCTCGAGCGCGATTCGCTGACTTTCCTGAAGCCTACGCGTCCCGTCCTCTAAGATAGAATTGCCAGCAAGCAGCCGCGTTCTGTCAGTGGACGTGCCATACGGATCATCCGAAAGCGACCCCTCCATGCCAGGGCGCGTCGCCGAACCCAAGAGGTCCGCGCGCGAGAACTGCGCATGCAGGTCCTTTGAGAGTTTCTTGTATCTCTGCAGTTCGGCCTTTGCAGACTTGATGCGAGTTTGGTAGGACGGCTTTATGGACTGTGGAATTCCTTGGATCTCTATCTCCATTTGCGACACCTACATCAAAATGAGCTTAGTTCAACAACCCAGGACATAAAGAGCCAACATACCATTTCGTCTGCCTCGTCTAGTTCCATCTCGACCCTGCGCAAAGCAGCCTTGCGCTGCTCTATGTCGCGCCCCAAGTGCTCAGTCAAGTCGTTGCTCCGTCAAAACAGGACGTTGGCTCACCTGCCTGCTCCCCCTTTGCGTCTCCATCGGTTTTGTCCCTGATACTCTGGATGATTTGTTGGAAGTCCTGTTCATAAGAGTCGAACAGAGCCGTCGGTGAGTTGTCCATGGTCGACCAGCGCAGAGCACACAGGCTCGCTGCGGCTGAGTTGTCAACGACGAGAAAAGCGCTGAACAAGCGCCAAAGTTAGTCAGTCAGAAATCAGCTTTACATGACAGCCTATGCTAGGGTTTATTCTTGCACGATAGCCTATTTGCAGGATGATATACTACTAAAATACTGTTCGAATCTCTTTGTTGCTTACCTACAATTTGCCTGCAATCTAGATCAGGGAGCACTTGAGTTTGCGCAACTTCCAAGCCGTATCCTCGACGGCATTAGTGCTAAGATTGACTGCAGTGTATATGACATGTCTGTCGCTATTTCTACCTTACAAGACCGTCTTCAGGCCGCGTCGACAGACTTTCAAAAAATTCAAAATGATCTCTCGAACGTGGTAGAGGCTCGACAGCGGTTGGAGGCTCAACTGTCCGAAAACGAGCTCGTGAAGAAGGTGTAGTCCGTACGGGTCACATCTGCTGCTGCAAACATCTCTCCTGACTACAAAACATCGGGCTAGGAATTCTCGCAATTGACTCCTTCAAATACCGTATACAAAATGATCGGTCCGGTGCTCGTGAAACAAGACCAGGCGGAGGCGAAGAGCAATGTAGACACACGACTGGACTTCATTAAGGGAGAGATGTACGTCTTGCTCTTTCTGCTTACCATTCATCTATACAACTTGTGTTATACAGGAAGCGCGTCGAGGCGCAACTAAAGGAACTGGATGAAAATTCAGAGAAGAAAAAGATGGAGGTGCGAGACGTTTCCTTCATGGAACCAGGTTGTCCGCGTTCTGACCTCTGACTATTCGCTGGACTCTAGATTGTTGAGATCCAGACTGCTCTCCAAGCACCCCAGGCTTCTGCATCTACGTAAACTAATGCTATTGCTGAGAACACTTACGGCGAGCTCTGTATTCCTACCTGTACTATGCACCAGTATATTATATGACATCACCAAAACCTGCGACCACCATCTTTCATGCTGTGTGATCCTATGATGGTGTGAGCCCTGCAATGTTCTCACTCCTATGAAGTGGATAAAGTTTGCCAGCGACGAGGGCTCCGAGGTTTATTTCTGCATCCCGAAGCTAAGCGGGGCACGCTAGTGGGTATTCGATGTGGCCTCCATTGCGCTGGCCTCCTGTGCCATACGCGCATGCATCTCATCGCGCTCGGTCTCTGGGCTCTTGAGGATTTTCTCCAGAGTGAATCGCTTACGGGCGGAGATGGGCGGGCAGTTCCGGATGAGAACCGTGTCACCATGCCGCAACTCTGTTCCAGTCGACATATGCTCATTAGAACACAGCGATGATATATGATAGACGTGGAGATGAAGACGCACGGTTAAGTTCATCGTGCGTGAGGTACTTCTTGCTTCTTTCTAGCCGCTGCGATGCGTGTCAGTGGAGGGCGCATGCAGACGACTAGGACGCGATGTACCTTGCCTGTGCGCGGGTGGGTGACCCATCTCGAGACAGTGACGGTGGCTGTTTTCTGCATGAAGCCAACCTTTGTGACCAAGCCAGAGAACGCCATGGGAGGCATGTTGGGTAGCCGCGGCTGTTCGAGTCGGGAGAGAACAAGACGAGTTGGCCGGCTAAGCGCGCACACGACTTGGACTTCCCTTTCTAGATTGCGTACGGACTGCTCGTCAAAGCTGGGCTGCAGGTCGTCAGTTACATTCCCCTCGTTGTCGCGAACAGTGTCCTCGGTGTCGTCTTCACCCCACCCACTCCTTGATCTGTGCTGGGCCCCCTTTATCGCTCTCCTACCTAATGCCTCACGGCTGCCATTCTCGGACATAGAGCTGACTGTACCTGGTCTTAGCCTTGATCGTCTAGGGCTTTCAAACGGTCCACCTCATCTCTTTTGGTGCTATTGTCTGTTCAAAAGCCCACGCATTGTATTTGGAGGTAGCAAGACCGCGCAATGGACGCGACGGAGCTCGGCCGCTGGACTCGTTTTGCCGCCAAGGGCGGAATTGGCAGGTGTACAGCGTTACAAGATTGTATTGCGGAAGAGCCAGACGAACTTATGTTTATGACGGTTCGTCTTCTTTACGATCTCGGGTTTCATTTATAGAAACCTCATCTCGCTCGCGTGGTCATTCTAGGATGATGAAATAACCGTCTTGATGCAGTTCACAGACCGCGAAGACATGTATCTAGTACGCCTCTCTTTTCACGTTCTATTTCCATTTTATAATCCCATATTCTCTGTAGGGTTACTGCGAGGGTGTCGTTGGCCGCTTCCGTGGCTCCGACGTACATTTCCATTCTCGTCTTAAAAAACCCATTTTGACGAAACGAACGTCATCTTCTGGTCTAGCACCCTCACGCAGTCGCCCCACTTCGTCTCAAAGTACGATGACTCTCGTTGCCCGTGACACTGCATCTCCTCCTGTCCCACTTCATCCATCGCCAGCGCCCACTCGTGCGTCAACACCTCGAATGTCGCACAGCTATTCTACTTCGTCGTCCATGTTGACCGAATCATCAAGTACGAACCAGATGTCTCGGTCTTTCTCTCTGGGTTCTGGATCAACGTCATCCTCCAATCAGCCGGTAGAGGGAAATAGCATTCGCATAAGATCCACAAGCTACTCTTCAGTTGGCCAGTCCTCTATCTCAACTGCGCTCGACTGTGCCCCTCTGACTCCGGCTCCTATTGGACTGTCGGGGGGAGACCCCGTCGTCCATGTAGTAAGTGTCTCCGGGCAGCTGTCTAGCCAGCAGGTTGGGGACACGGATGTAGCCACTGTGGATTCACATAGTGATTTGTTAACAACATCGCCCCTGACAATTAGCCCATTGAAGATTAGGAAACAGCTGTCCACAGCAGTTCTCAAGGACAGTGACGACTTAGGCTCACAGCAGAGCCAGGAATCCTACTCATTTGATACTGAAGATAGTTCGCAAATCTCTTTTGCTGTGTCGGATAGTATTCATGGCATTGGACTATCGCTATTGCAGGAATTACACGGGAATGTGACCTCTGCATCGACAAGCGGTCGTCCTGTCGAGCTCACCACACCCACATCAATCCCGGATACTTCATTCTCTACTGAAGTCGATCCCCGTGAGCCTATACCAGAAGATCGTCCGGACGAAAGTATGCGTTCCGACACTGCGTCCGTGTCTCAATATTCCGCTTCTCCGCATAGCGTGCGTCAACCGTTATCCGAATTCCATCCTCCAACACCCCAGTATGCTCGCGACTCCGTTGTGTCTCGCAGCTCTTCTCATCCATCTTTGATTGGTTCTGAGTATGGAAGCGCAGAGTGGGAAGGTGCCTCAGATATATACGACAACTACCGATACTCACGCTTCTCCGTGGCGTCGAAGATGTCAAGGTTATCACAAACCTCCTTGGCTCCCAATCGCCTCGATGCGAATGTCCCGCCGATGCCCTCGGAACATCAAAGTCCCAGAGCAAACGTTGACCTCAAGAGTGCGGGATTGGGCGGTCAGAGGGGAGCAACAGCAGCGTCGCATATTAACGCTAATGCATCATTTGTAGACACGAAGGCAGAAAATATTCTGCCAAAGGATGTACAGCAAATTTTACGTCGTCCAGACGCTGATACTACTGAGCTCATGCACCAGAATGTCGCTTCGAAGAGTATCATCGAAGACAGGCCACCATCTTTAGACCTTCTCGGTAACCGTGTACCTTCACCCCTGTTGCACACTTCGTTCGGCTCACCTCAAGATGTGATGACCCCGTTGTCTGCAAGGTCCACACTGTCGCCTTCTCTGCGTTCGCCCAATAGCGCTCAATTTTCACAGAATGAAAAACAAGATGACGATGAGCCGTTGGAGGCCCCCAGTCTCTTAATTCGACCGAGTAGGGAGTCGTTTGCCCAGATTGATACGAGCACGCGACTTTCTGGTCAAAACGTGGTAATTGAAGATGAGGAGGACGAGGATTTTCTCCCGAGCCCAGGCTTTTCGCCAGTACCACTGCCTGCTTCACCGCTCCCTTCCTCAGGTCCCGTTAAGGAGCAAGTTCGAACGAGGAGTCCTAGTCCGGAGCCTGCCCCTCCTCCGTACTCCCCCGTCAACATTGTTCCTGTCGAGCGGCAACCTTCCCGAGTCCCGCCAAATCAATCACTGCCAGCCGAAACACAGCCTTGTCAGCCTAGCACGTCCATCCCTCAGTCTCGCCAGCCTGGCACGTCCATCCCTCAGTCTCGCCAGTCTGGCACGTCCGTCCCTCAACCTCGCCAACCCAGCGCATCTGTCACTCAGTCACACCAACCCGGCGCGTCTGCCCCTCAGTCTCGCCAGCCCGAGGCTTTCCCTCAGCGACGCCAGCCGAGCAGCAATCCTCCCGCAGATCCCAGTGCCCGCCAAAGTCTATTTATGCCACATCCTCATGCACCAAAACCCGCTGCGGTTCCTGCAGGACCGATGTATGGACGGCAGCCCCAAGGTGTCACGGGGGCTCCGTACCATTCAGGTCCGCCTCCTGAATCGGCTATACAGATGCTCAATATTGCAAGGGCAGCTGCAGAGAGGAGAGCGACGACAATCTATGGCCATTTTGAATATGATCTAGCCACAGCTCCAGGACCTGTTCCAGTTTCATTTTCTCTGGAGCCACAGGTGAACGTACCAGCGAACAGACCGATCATGACGAAGGCACGATCCTATTCGCCTCGCCCAGCATCCCCTGCGACTGGATTTGGCGGTGGCGGAACTATATACACTGATCGGCGAACAGAGTCTCCAGCGCCTCTGAGTCCTCTTGCAGGCCCGGAGCGGGCAGATAGAGCAATTCCGCGTCCCAACTTTTCACCGCATGCTCCGGGTATGCGACCAAGGTCCAGATCCTTCTCGGGATTTGATGCACCAACACGGGAAATTGCATCTTCATCGAGGTTAGGCCCATTTCATGTTGCTTCTTCATTCTTCATGGCCTGATTCTCTTCATAGTTCTGGTGAGACACCTATCACGAACTTGTCGTCTGTTGGCGTCATCACGAAGAGGTCAAAGTCTGCCACCACCGCATCAGTTGTCGTTGGGTCGCAGTTATCTGTCCCAGCGCCGCAGCGTGCAACTGTCTCGCATGCTGCATCGGTGGTTCGCTCTGTCCAGAAACCGTCTCCGCTCTCAATTTCTACCAATAATACCGTTGCTCCACCCTTAATGTCCTCGTCACCTTTGTCTGCAGGTGGCGCGTTGGTTATGCCTCAATTTCCCATCGCTGGCACTTCGTCGAATCCCAGTACGCCGATTGCGCGCAATACTTCATTCGACCATACAATCGCTACTCAACAAAACAGACAATCACCTGAAACTGTACGACGGCCTTCTAAGAGTACATTCAGATCTGACAACTCAAAACCGAGCCCTCCGCCCTCTCCGCGTTCTCCCACCGCATCGTCATCCTCTCATCATGTACTTCGTCATAGTCGATCCTCCATTTTATCAACCTCGAGGACCGTAGCACAGGCTATATTGCCTCGACCACGAGTGCTGTCACAAGGCCGCCCATCTACAGACAGTGATGTGCGACTCTCTCCAGAGCTGTCTCACAAGTTTGTTGCATCCACTCCATTCTCTGACTCTCCAGAGCCATTTGTTCGAACAGGGTCATCACGTTCCAGAATGTCCTCGTCCATTTCGAGAACACAGAGCGGAGAGAGACCTCTGCACCCTGGTGACCGCAGCCCAGTAGCAAGTGTCTTCTCCCTCGAACCGCCACACGACCACACAACTGTTTCAGTGCAGGATATGGATTTCGAGCTCGTGAGGCCAACTGTTCCTCATTCGCCTCTTGCGGGGAGCAGCGTTGATTCTCTGCCGTTGTCAAATTCTAGCCCCGTGCCAGAGGCAGCTGTTCCGGCTACTACCAAGGCGATTGCTCCTCCGATCCGTCAGCCGTCTGCGGAACAGTTGCAGGGAGATCGCCGACCTCCGCCAGACGTGGAAGCCCATCGACAGCGGGAGCTCAAGTGGATATCGATCATGGCATCTGTTCCCGCCTCGCAATCAAGCAAAAGCAGGAGGGTGCGTAAATTGCTCCAAGAGGGGGTTCCCGCCTCCGTTCGGTATCTGGTCTGGGCACATCTCACGGATAGCAAAGCGAAACGCATGGATGGTCTTTACACTCGTCTAGGCCAACGCGAGAGGGTGGGGGCCATCGCGGAGATCGAGCGCGATTCGCAGCAGATCTTCCAAGATCAACCGTTGCAGGATCAGTCACTGGTGAACGTGCTGCAGGCGTATTTGTCAATGGTTCCGGACGTGCTGTACAACAGAGGTATGTACGGTAATTTGGTGCTTGGTGCAACGAAATTGAGTTTCTGTAGGCCTTGCTGTGATTTCGGGTCAGCTTCTCCTCCAATCGCCAGAAGAGGATGCATTTTGGACGTTTGTGTCACTTATGAACTCTCATCTCCGGCCGTATTTTTCGCTTAACAGCTGCCAGCTGGAAGTTGATGCATCACTCTTCGCCAAGGTGCTAGAGGGAGTTGATGGGGTTCTTGCCAAGAGAATTTTTGTTGATCTGGCTATTCCGCCAACTGCTGTATGCCGACCGTGGTAAGTAAGATCTTGGATCGGACGATGATTGTACTCACGCGAGTGGTGCAGGTTTACGACTGTATTTGCCGACTGTTTTCCTATGTCTTATCTACATCGAGTGTGGGACTTGTTTCTGTATGAAGGTGAGAGATAGGTCAACTGTCGTAGACACGTTCTAAGAGAACGATTGGTCGCAGGAGTTACGTTCCTCTTCCGGGTCGGGCTTGCAGTAGCCTCATGCTGTCGCCAAGCCCTCCTTAGGTGTAAAGGGTGCGATGAGCTTCTCGCCATCCTGGCTCGACCACCTCGCCGGTCGTTACCGCCAACACCGGATAGTTTTCTTGAACTAGCAATCGCGGCAAAGGTGAGAGACGAGGATCTGCGCAAGCAACGGAGCAAGATGGAGGCGCAGGTCAAGCGTCAGACACAGAGCCGATCCTCGCTGTCTTCCGCCGGGCATCGCGGTTCGAACCCACCGATATCGCTCCCTCGAAGCTGAGCGCAAGAGAAGTGTCCTTGCCTCTTTATCTATTTGTAGAGTATGCACCGTTAATGTCGTATACCATTTTTTGCGCTTTCCATCATTATTGTAGCAAGCTCTCGGTCGTTGATTTTCGCATAGACTATCGTAGCCTCAGCCGCATGCGCTTCTTACGTGCACTTACTGTAGGATAGCGTGGCGTTAAATTAAGACCCTACTCGCTTTCGCGCAATACTTACTATTTGTCTCTTGGGCGAGCATTGCTTTTCGACTGGCGCCTGTGTGAGAAGCGCCTGGGACGCGGCGGTCACGTGAAAACGCGTCCTCGTTTACTGCCAGTGGCCACACGCTGCTCGCGCTGCTCTCTCTGGCTGCCTCCCTCCACCTCTCCCGCGCGATGGCGGCTCTGCTCGCAGACGTTCGGTATTTTATTTCTCGCACCCTCCGGCCAGAACGACGACAAGCATACGCGGAAGCACTCGACAGCGCGGGAGCTCTCGCGGTGTCGCTGGATGACCCCGCGCTCACACATCTCGTCGCGTCCACGCCGCCCTCGGACGATGCTCTCGAACGCTTGCCGCAGGACTCTGCTGCTCACGTCGTTACTCCAGCCTGGGTCGAGCGGTCCATTGTCCTCAAGGCTCTTCAACCGCCCGAGTTTTATTCCACAGACCCTGCCTTCCTCTTCTCTGGCATCACCGCGACGGCTACAGATATGTCCCCTCACGATCTCGAGCTACTTTCTGCAGCAATTACCGCGCTTGGCGGACAGTGGCGCACCACTCTCACCCGTGATGTGACCCATCTTTTTGCTCTCTCGACCGGCAGCCTGCACTACGAGACCGCGATGCACTTCCAGGACTCCACTCACATGAAGATCCTCGTCCCGCACTGGTTCGAAGACTCCATCAGGCTTGGTATCAAAGGTCTGCCCACGGACGAATACGAATGGCCCGAACCCGCTGTCTTCAAGGGCAGAGTCCTGGATGGTGCACAGGACAGTTCGCGGCCAGCTTACAGGCTTTCTGCAGAAAAGAAGGCATACTTCGAGACAGCACTCGCCTCCGGCAGCGATCTGCCATACACTCGTGTCGCGCCTCGCAATGTTTGGAATGGACTCCGGGTCCTCCTCAGTTCGTCGCTCGGTCTCACTGAGAGCCAGAGGGAAGCCCACGAAGCAGACATCCGTCGGGAAGGCGGTCTTGTAGTAGAGCTTCCACGAAATTCTTCTTCTCAGATGATGGAAGACGAGGCAGAGAAAGTGCGTGAGGCTGACGTTTTTGTGACCCGTCATAGAGCCGGGTCAGCATATGTCAAAGTAAGTTGCGCTGAGTCGACCAGTTGACTCTGCTGATAGTTCACAGGCGTACAAGTTGAACAAAACGATCGGTAGCCTCACATGGTTATGGTTCGTGCGCGCATCGGGAACGCTCTCTAGGCCTACCGACCAGCTCCTTCATTATCCCATCCCTAAGAAACCTATCGAGGGCTTCTCTTCCCACGTGAGTGCATCTGAGTTCCCTTGCTATCTGAAGTATGAATCAAGATGAATAGATTATTACAATCACCAACTATACAGGTAAGCATCGCGAATACCTCAAGAAGCTCATCGCCACCATGGGCGCCGAGTTTACGCCAAGCATGTCAAGCAAAAACACTGTCGTTATTGCAGCATTGTAGGTCAATATTGAACCCCGCAATGTTCATGACTCTCAGCCTTACGTCTTAGCGTTTCTGGAACCAAGACCGCGAAAGCTACCTCATGGTCAATTCCCGTCGTAAATCATACGTGGCTCGAAGATTGCTTCGTGCAGTGGCGTGCGCTAACACCCGCGCGTGAAAAGTACATTATCTTTCCTCCGGGGATGGACTTCAGTCAACTGCTTGCGGATCGAGGGCTTGGTGGGCGTGTGGGCTTCGAGCCAGGTGAGCTCGAAGCGCTTGAGACGGAGAATCAGGCTGCACCAGAGCGTGAGGCAGACGTCGGGCGAGCGTCAGCTCTGTCGGGCACCGCAAACAGTGCCCGAGATGCACGAGAGGTAGAGAAAGCGGTAGACGGTTTTGACAACGTTGTGGGAGATGTAAGCATAGCTGGTCACCTCGACGTTGAGATGCGAGTGGACGAAGACGTGGAGATGATCACGGATGATGGAACTGGGGGCAGACAAAAGGGTCGCTCAGTCGCGCCTACAGATCGCAAACCTGCGCGAATTGCAGATCGTGAAGAGCAGCTTGATGCAGATAGGGCGAGTATCAACGAGCCAAGCACGTCTTTGGTATCGCCTTCCAAACCACTGCGGCGATATTCCCGAAAAGGCAACAAAGTTGTCTTACATGGACACAGCGAGGAGCCTGTTACCCGCCTAGGCCCACCTACGCGCGCGCCAGCCAAGGATAAGATGCAGACTGCTGCAGGTGAGTCGACACAATACCAACGTTTCTTGTATATAGACAGCCTGGTAGGATCTGGAGCCCGCGAACGCCAGAAGCTTCCACAGATATCTTCAGACGAAGAGGATCCTATGGATGTTGATGATTTGCCAGTTAAAAGCAAAAACTCAAACATCAACGTACCGGCAGGCAAGGGCTCCCGCCCACCAAGGAAGCGCCCCGCAGACGAAACTGATCCGGAGGACGAGCATGAAAAACCAGCTTCTCGATCCGAAGTGTCAGCATCAGTGGAGACTGCAGCATCACCCGTCAAGGCTACTCGTACTCCCACAAAACGACTATCAGTCGTTTTGCCTACGGTAACTAATGTTTACTCGCCTTCAAAGGGCGGAAGGACTTCGCCGCGGAAAGCCGTCGCACCAACCACCTCAGTCCGTGCCGAGACGGCCGAGACATTGACACACTCTCCGGCGAAGCGAGATCGTCTGCCTGCTTCGCCGAAGAAAGTGCAGCTGAGCGTGAACTTTGACAGTGAGTCAGAGCTCTCCCCCCCAGTGAAGAGTCGCCGCAAGAAATCTCCAGCGCCTTCCGCCCCAGTGGCCGGTCCCAGCAGAATGGGTTCCAGCCCGCCGCCGTTGGGCAGGACACCATCAAAGCGATCTGCGGCAAGTCGAGCGACCCAGAAGCTGCGGGATGAGATCATGCCCGATGTCCTCAGTTTCCAGAAAGAGATGAAACGGGGAAATGTGCGCGGATTGGGCGAGAGCGAGCCTACGTCCGCAAAGGGTAAAGAGAAGGAGAAGGAGAGGGAGAAGGAAGCGGGCGGTGTGTTAAAAACGCCAAAACTTGACAAGGCGAAGGGGAGGAAGAGACTTTCGGCGGCCAGAGATGATGATACGATAGCTGACGAAGAGCCGGAAAAGAAGCGTCCACGCACAACCTCGACTGGCGGGAAGAATGGTAAGACACATCGTCCAGGACACGCTCCGGAGGAATTAGAGGGAGAGGTCGAAGAGGCAAAATCCAAAGCGCGCCGTAAACCAGCAAGTAAGGGTAGAGTGAGCGTGGATGAGGCCAGCGCAAAGCCAATGTAGGTCTTTTCTGCATCTCATCTTCTCTGTTGTTAAGCTACATCCTCTGTGCCCCATAGTTCGCAGGCTCAGTCCAGTCAGAAGCAGGTTCGGATAATGATGACACAGGTCACTGTCTCAGACGAGATGCTCCGGGTTCGTGCTCCTTTTCCATTTCCCTCGTCGTGACTGACAGAGCTTTCGCTGTCAGGCTTTGTCCAAACTTGGGGCAAAGATGACGACAAAACCTTCCGAGTGCACACATCTCGTCGCCAAGGGTATTGTACGCACTGAGAAATTCCTCTGTGCCATGGCATCTGCGCCGTAC